GTCTGTCCGGGGTGGGGGTCGGGACCCTTTAAGCGCAGCCCTCAGCTAGCCTGAGACAGCATCTCCATGCTCTAAGTCCTCCTCTGATGCCCTGCCGGCACTGCTTCCGGCCATCCTTAAGCCGGTTCAGGGTCCACTTAATGTGGACATGCTAGTTCGAATTAGCAAAACGCTAATTCGAACTAGTTTTTTAGTCTGGATCCGTTAGTTCGAATTAGCTTAGTTCGAATTAACTAATTCGAACTAAGTTAGTTCGAATTAGTGCTGTAGTGTAGACATACCCTAATATCCTTACTCGCTATTTATTGACAATTACCAAGCAAGCAGAATACACATGCTAAAAATACAGTCTTATGCTTACTAATCCTGATAAAGGCAGGCAAACTTGCCCTGTTGGCCAGGCGAAATCAGTCTTGTCTGTATCCTGGTTGCTGCACGTCAGAGTCATGCAGAGGAGTTGTGGCAGGTCTGGTCTTAGGCTGGGTCTTGGAGGTAAGTTCTTCCAGATCTATATAGTGAAACTTGAGTCCTGCTTAGCTATACCTTAACCAATTATTTTACTATCATTTTGCTAACCAAGCATAACATACTGGAAGAGAATTATCTAGTCAATTGTACCCCACCACCTTAGCTGATTGGCACCTGGTAAAATTATACAACAGACAGAAACAGTTAACAACCAGACAGAGATCATACAGACAAACAGTAGGAAAGTGAGCACCATCAGCATAGAATGAGGGTTCCACAACCTCAGCTATTAATAAACAATTTCTCGACAGACAAAGTTCTGTTAAACTAAGTTTTCTTTCCCCATCTTGAGACCTGTTTCTTTATGTGGGGACAGTGAGTGCTATCAGGACAGGGTCGCCATCCTAACAGCCTGGGGTATTGTTGTTTTAATGCAATTTAGATGAAATGTGAGTGTGTGACTCCAAGCATTGCAGCTAATGGTTGCTGCTCTTCAATCTGGCTGCAGAGGAAGGCTTTAGGCCGCCTCACATGGCTATTGTTACACCCCTCTGCTTCAGATCAACATACTGTCCTCTGGAGTAGAGAAGGAACTGAGGGACAGTTGATGGTACGTGGTGGTGAACTGCTCACACCAGTGTGACACAGACACCACGTGTGCACTGCCTCCCAGTTTACTGCTGCTACAAATCTATAAGGGCAGGGCGCTGATACACCTCACACGGAACAGTCCCAGGGACAACCATCTCAGAGAACCTCAGTTACTGCTCGCATGCTTGGATTGGTTGCTGAACAAAACACACGTCAGTCAGTTTTTTGGAATAGATACACCTTAATGGGTAAAAAAATGAATCCAGATAACTGATTTTCAAACATGGTAGCTGTTCAGTTGGCTTAGAGACTGTTACGTATTAAGATTATAAGGTCACTGTTGCATCCTTGCTGTGGATTCATATAGCAGGGAGAGAAATTTAATGTAATAAAATACAAAACAGTATTAAAAGGTTGATTCTTTTGTTTTTCAAAACATGAAGGACTGTCACTGAACTGTGGATTTTGTGTTTGACTATCATAAACCTCTTGTAGCCACCCCACCCCAAAAAAAATTAGAGCAGCTCAAAGGCGGGTTATACTTTTGTCTCTAGCAACTGGGTTCAGGGAGGTATTTACTCAATTGATTCTTTGTCATTTTAGGGTTTACCACCCCAGAAAATTTTCAAGATGCAGCATAGCAGAATACAAAGAATTTTTACTCAGAGGGGGAGGTGCTTGTCTTTTCAACAGGCCAACAAAGGTAATTTCACTTAGAAGATTAATTCACTTTGAGGTTGACTATCAGGCACTGCAGTGAAGATTAAATGGTTTCATTGAATCTTCTTTTCCCTTAAATGCATGATTTATTGGGCTGTTATAGATTTTTCTGGTTTTTAGTTGCAGTTTTGTGGCTCTTCCTCCTCATTAGCAGTCATTTTAATTAATAAGAATTATTAGGGAAAGTTAAAACTTGTCTTCAGTAAATTCTTCATACTCAGATAATTATTTAAGCCCTAACTCTGCCCTAATTTGGACCATTATGAAATCCTCATAAGTAGACAGCTGTACCCATTGAACATAGAATCATAGAATACTAGGACTGGAAGCACCCCGAGAGGTCATCGAGTCCAGTCCCCCCTGCCCAGTACTGTCTACACCATCCCTGATAGACATTTATCTAACCTACTCTTAAGTATCTGCCAGAGATGAAGATTCCGCAACCTCCGTAGGCAATTTATTCCAGTGTTTGACCACTCTGACAATTAGGAACTTTTTCCTAATGTCCAACCTAAACCTCCCTTGCTGCAGTTTAAGCCCATTGCTTCTTGTTCTATTCTCAGAGGCCAGGAAGAAAATTTTTTCTCCCTTCTCCTTGTGACACCCTTTTAGATACCTGAAAACTGCTATCATGTCCCCTCTCAGTCTTCTCTTTTGTAAACTAAACAAGCCCAGTTCTTTCAGCCTTCCCTCATAGGTCATGTTTGCTAGACCTTTAATCATTCTTGTTGCTCTTCTCTGGACATTCTCCAATTTCTCCACATCTTTCTGGAAATGTAGTGCCCGAAACTGGACACAGTATTCCAACTCAGGCCTAATCAGCACAGAGTAGAGCGGAAGAATGACTTCTTGTGTCTTGCTCACAACACACCTGTTAATGCATCCTAGAATCATGTTTGCTTTTTTACAGTATCACACACTGACTCATATTTAGCTTTTGGTCCACTATAGCCCATAGATCCCTTTCTGCCGTACTCCTTCCTACACAGTCGCTTCCCATTCTGTATGCATGAAACTGATTGTTCCTTCCTAAGTGGAGGGACACTTTGAATTAGTCCTTATTAAACTTCATCCTGTTTACCTCAAACCATTTCTCCAATTTATCCAGATCATTTTTAATTATGACCCTATCCTTCAAAGCAGTTGCAACCCCTCCCAGCTTGGTATCATCTGCAAACTTAATAAGTGTACTCTCTAGGCCGATATCTAAATCGTTGATGAAGATATTGAACAGAACCAGTCCCAAAACAGGCCCCTGCGGAACCCCACTTGTTATACCTTTCCAGCAGAATTGTGAACCATTAATAACTACTGTCTGAGAACAGTTATCCAGCCAGTTATGCATCCATCTTATAGTAGCCCCGTCTAAGTTGTATTTGCCTAGTTTATTGATAAGAATATCATGCGAGACTGTATCAAAAGCCTTACTAAAGTCCAGGTATACCACATCCACCACCTCTCCCCTATCCACAAGACTCGTTATCCTATCAAAGAAAGCTATGAGATTGGTTTGACATGATTTGTTCTTTACAAATCCATGCTGGCTTTCCCCTATTACTTTATTATCTTCCAGGTGTTTGCAGATGATTTCCTTAATTACTTGCTCCATTATCTTTCCTGGCACAGAAGTTAAGCTGACTGGTTGTTAGTACCCTATCCCTTTATGTAAAAAATTGTGTACACATTTTGCACAGGCGTAGATATAAGAGCAGTTAATGCTCCATGTTCAGTTAATCCTCTGTGCCTGGAGCTATTGGGAATGGTGCCAATGATTGCACTAATGAACTAGACAGAAATCAGTAATTTGCTTCACATAGGCTGTTAATTTTTGGTCACTACCAACCTGGATTGGATTTGTATTGGAAACACAGAGATATAAAGCACTATCATCTTTAGATGTTGGTCTTTCTGAGACTGGAGATTTGTAGCTAGTAGTGTCCATTGGTCTGTGCCTGTGCCGTTTCTCTCCTTGTACTCCAAACTGAGAGCACAGAAGTCAGTATGGACCTCTCCAGTTTCTTCTTACCACCACTTGGCCAGAATTGGAATTCACTGTGTCAACTACAATTTTTCTATATTTTGTAAGCAGTTTACAGTAAGTAGTTTACAATAAGTTTGGACTTTATTGTTGTGTTTTTAAAGCCAATATAATTTAGTTCTCTCAGCAGAGAAGAACTATGCTAGGACTCTCAAGATACAAACTGTTATGGCCAAATACAATTTTATTAATTATGGGAAACTGGGAGTGTTTCTGGAACATTTATTGGAAATATAAAAGTAACAATTTCAGGCTATCCTTAAAGACTATGGCTGTGTCTAGACTGGCCAGTTTTTCCGGAAACTCAGCAGCTTTTCCGGAAAATCTTGCCAGCTGTCTACACTGGCTGCTTGAATTTCTGCAAAAGCACTGACTTCCTACTGTAAGAAATCAGTGCTTTTTGCAGAAATACTATGCTGCTCCCGTTCGGGCAAAAGTCTTTTTCTGAAAGACTTTTGCGCAAAAGGGCCAGTGTAGACAGCAGAGATTTCTTTTCCGCAAAAAAGCCCTGATCGCGAAAATGGCTTCCTAGTCTGAACTACCTAGTCCGTGCCGCATGTAAGCCGCGCGGCACGGAGTCCGCACTAGCAGACATTTAAAAATGGCGGTGCCCGGCTTTATGCAAATGAAGCCCGGGAAATTCAAATCCCGGGCTTCATTTGCAACTCCGGTTGCCTACATTACCACCCTAGTTTGAACTAGGGTGGTAGTGTAGACATACCCTAAGTGGTTCAACTTATTTGGCTGAAAGGTTTGTTCTGTTATCTTGTAAGACGTATATGGGATTTTTTAGGGGAAAAGGCAGTAGGCCATGTTTATTGAAAATAAAAGGTAAAAAGCTTATGCATTTATTCAAACACATACACACACACTGTCCTATTGATGTTATAGTTACTAGTTTGTTCCTTACATCGACTTAATGGCCAGTGAAGTCAAAAGTGAGGGAGGAACCAGGCTTCTGTTGGTCCAGACTAATGGTCCCAAATCTTGACAGGATGGAACCTGAAAAACCATGCAAGTTATCCATCTTTTGTAGGAATTCCTTTTTCGGCAGATCTATGGATTTTGCTGCATTACATGGTATTTCATCACTTTGGAACATGTTTATTTGGAGGCTATTTTTATTTACCCCATATCTGTCACTGAATACTATGGGCCCATTTGATAGTTCCTTTGTATCCCCAGGTTTCCAGCCCCTCCTCTGACCATCTGCATGCTGTGCTGACCTTCAAACTAAACTGTTTTTAAATGCTTACATACTTCACTCGCACAAACAAAAATTAATCAATAAAAGGTCGCATAGTTGCTTTTGTAAAAAGAGATCTAGTACAAAATATTCTAAGATGAAAGTAACTATTGCTATTATATTCTTCCTTAATGCAAAAATATTCTTGCACTCTTAAATTAAAGAAGAAAACAAGTCTAACTGTAATAAGTAACAATAGTGACAAATAGACCCTTTTTGTTTGTTCCTACTTAACATTAATAACAAACACAAAAATACTGCTTAATTCATCTTTAGCAACAGCACTGAACTGTTCCTTTCTGCTTGTTAGAAAGGATAGCTGGCAAGGTATTGTAAAGTATATCACATTAGTGTACATTTTAGCTACATAGGTTGTGCCTAAACTACACCCCTCTGTTGGCAGAGGGACGTAAATTAGAAGTTTCAAAAGTGCAAATGAAGTGGGGATTTAAATATCCCGTGCTTCATTTGCATAATCGCGTCATGGCACTGTTTCGAACAAACACCATGTCAAAAGTGAAACCGCGGTCTATATGCATTTTTTTCGACAACGAGGTGCTTTTTTGAAAGATCCTATACTGTTTTGAACAAGTATCATGTCAAAAGTGAAACCACGGTTTACACACGGTTTTTTCAAGAACGGGGTACTTCTTCGAAAGATCGTGTACTGGATCTTTCGAAACATGTAATTTACATCCTCTATGACAGAGGGGTGTAGTTTAGACATAGCCATAGTGTGGGAAATCTCTGGCCTTGCCCCAGGGGTCCTGCACTTCTGAGCAGATAGTGTTTGCCTCAGAGGCTCACTGTGACCCTCCACATAGTCTTTTGTCTTTTTCTATAGGCAAGGATCAAAGCCAACTGTGCCATACTCATTATAGACCAGTCATGTGGGTTTAGTCCCAGACTTCCCCTCAGGGGTGACCTCCATAGTGGTTTCAGCCCAGGGACCCTAATGGCAGTGGCAGCAGATAGTAAATCTTCCACCAGTAGAGCTGTAGCTTTTCCCTGAGCTACTTCTCCCAAACAACTGCCCCTAGTATCTTCTTCCTGGTACCTAAAAGAGTCCTTCCTGCTCCGCCACTGCACACTTCCTCAGTCCCAGTCCTTAGCTTCTCATCCCTCTCTGAAGGGAAGCCTATTAAACCCGTCTCAACTGGTCGTGCCTGGCCTGCCAAGTGTTCCTTCCACAATTACGGGGCAAGTACATTTCAGTACTAATAGTCTATATTGTGACAATGTTTTATATAAACAAATGGGGTGGTGCTTGTTCCCCTCTCGTGTCACAAAGTCCTGCTCCTATAGGAATTTTGTATTACCCATCACATTCACCTGTATGCTTCATACCTATCCAGGGAGCAGAAAGCTTCAGCTGTTCATTCAGCACCCACAAATGGACACTTCAGGTGAATGTCGCCCTATCCATCTTCCACAGATAGGGTCCTCCCCAGGTGGACCAGTTCATGACGAGAAGCAACCGCAAATGCTACCTGTTTTGTTCCTTTCAGAACCACAGCCTGGGGTCTCTAGTAGCTGCTTTTCACCTATCTTGGTTAGGACGCCTTCCCGCCCTTCCCCCTCATACACACTGTCCTACTCAAAGTTGGAAGGACAGGGCATTCCTCATATTGGTGGCTCTGGAATGGCCCACCATGCTTCTGATCCTGTCAGTGGACAGTTCGATAGAGCAGAGGTTCCCAACCTTTTTGATACCAGGAACCGGCAAACTCATTCACAAACTTTTGGCGGGCAGGTAACATTTTATTTACATATTTACATATCAGCCCAGCACCTTGCATCATGGATCACATTCTGCATCTGGGTGTGTACAGTCTAGCTAAAGTCCCAGCACTGGTGCTGAAAGCACATTTCACAAGTATGCAGTCCTCCTCTGTGGTGTTTTTTGCACAAGTCCCTATGCAGGACATCTGTTAAGCAGCCCATGTGGTCATCTATCCTGCATGTCCCACTACACCATTACTCAGCAGGCATAGGCTTTCGGCAGGGTGGTTCTGCAATTGGCAGCCAGGTGATCTCCAACCCGTCCTCTGGGGGAAACTGCTGGTGAGTCATCTATTGGAACATACATGAGCAATAACTTGAAATAAAAATGATTAGCTACCTTTTGTACCTGATGTGTTTCGAGACATTTCTCGTGTCCAATCCAAATCCCGTCCTCCTTCCTTCTGTTAGAAGAGGGGAAGGTTGAAGGTGCCACACCAGGTGGATACACAGTCAACCCAGTAGGTATTGCTAAGGGGAAAATTCTCTCTTGATCATGCATGCAGCATGCACATACATCTTTTGGAATGGACATGACCAACAAATCTCAAAGAACAACAGTTACAAAAGGTAGATAATTGTTGGTTTTTTTCAAGATGTGTAGTCCCTGTTTGTATTCCACTACCCCCTCCTTTCCTTCTGTTTTGGAACCCATCTGATTCTGGGTAAGAGAAGGCATTGCACACTGCCCTTTATGCCCTCTGTTTAGAGCACGATGAGAGCAACTTCACGTCCGTAGACCAACAGACAATACTTGCTACAAATCATAAGTCATGGGTGTATGCAGCACCCATGAATAAAATATGGATAGAGACCACACATCTCAAAGTTCCAGTTCCAGATGAGCAATTTCCATTTGTATTACGAGTCATCTTAGCCATTTAGTCTCCTTTTGCCCATTTACGATACAACAAAGTTACAATTTTTTTTCTGACATTCAACAATAGTTTCCCACCATATTAAACACGAAGTAGGGTTAAAACTATTTCCCTTGTAAAACTAATTGACATTGTAGTCTGGCATTTTACCAAATTGTCAGCCTTGGAGAGTTTAATCCCAAATGAGACTAAACGCTATGACATTATATATACTTTATCCTCTCCCTGATCTCCATTAATTGAAAAGTCGTTGGCTTTTCTCAAGTTACCAACCCTTTGCCTCCCTCCCCCCAGCTCCAAAATCTTGTAACTGTGTGATAGATTTTACATTTTAAGCAGACTTTGCATAAAGATGTCTGTAAATGGAATGAATGTTAAGACAAAAAAAGTCTTAATGGGTGTGATCATAGTAAGATTATGGTTGACTAATGGATGAACATGAGTAAATCTTCAGTTGACTGAAGATGGAGACCAACTCCCTCTTACTCTGGTGACAATGATCCTTGGTGATGATTGTATAATGGAAAATGGATTTTCAGGTTCAGAGCAAGAACAGGTGATCTTGCTGTCCGTTCGGCAGTATTGATGACTTGTAGAGAAAAAGGTATGTCTTAGTTTTCATATCTGTACAGAGAAGAATAGTTATTCTAAATCATGCTTATATTTTATTGGTGAACAACTTTGTATAAAGCAGTTCAGTACTCATTCAACCTTTAATGCCCAAAAGTACAGGCTCTTTCAGTTAGCTAATATTTTCTGTAAAAGAGAAAAATGTGTTTGAATCTTTCATCCTAGCAATATTTTAAAATTGTCCATATGTTTTTTCTCCAAAAAGTATTCAAAGAAGAGTTCAGTGACATGTCATGATATCCTTTATTTAGTAAAACAGCAGGCAAACGGGTACCTGAATGTACCTCAAACATTCAGTAGCATTCTGTTGGTTGATATGTCCCTATTAGTGTCAAATCTCTTGTTATTGTCCTGTTTTATAAACATAACTATTATAAAATGTCAAAAGTAGGAAATGCTTTTGAAAAATAATTACTTTGCAAAATGGCAGCACTGTAAAAATCATAGCTTCTGCTTTAAAAATTACTATGTTTTGAGAGCTGGCAAAGCAATTTGCCTTGTACAGGTTTAATGAAGTGACTTTACTGCACTCAAAGGATGGAAATATATTCTAGAGGTCAACAAAAAAATCACTGAGAAATGAAAAATTGGACAAGAGGAATTCTAAAGTGACCTTGAATGACTAAGTTGATTTATATGACTCCTGAATCACTGACATTTGTAGAACTCAGCAGTAAGGAAACCTGCAGATGTGTTATTGTCTTGCATCTACCAGTGGGTGTTTTCAGTAGATGTAACAGTAAAGGGGGTGTGGGCTAAGAGATAGAAAATAGAAATGAGAAAAAAAATTAGGAACTCACAAATGAACCTATTAAATGTAATGTTTACAAATAAGTTACACAAAATGTAAATCAAAACTGTTAATGACCACTGTTGTGGCTCAGTGGGTAGTGGAATGAACTGCCCCTCAGGAGATTGGAATCTAAGATCTTCCTTAGGATACCATAATCCTCAGCTAAGGAGAGCGAATGGTGTTTTAATTTAGTGTGGTGGGCACATTATTAAAACCCAGGCTCAGATATCTGTTATTGCTTTTCTCTGAAACAGAAAACAAAAAATAATATGCATAATTACTGAAGAGCAGAGTTCTCTGTTTTTTAATGGTTGGACTTTTACTGTTTGCAGAATGACAAGTAAGTAGCCAATATAGACTAATATTTCTTTTGATCCTGGTAATAGCTTTTAGCAATATTTATTCATATTGATCTGGCTCGTCATATGTTAATTGGTGAATAAGACACAGAGAACATCCTTTGATGCTTGTGGGATCTTTCTTGGTTACTATTTTTTTGTTCATGAGTCCAATCAATGAGGGTATGTCTACACTAGCTCGTTAGTTGGAGCTAGGTAGGCAAATGAGGGCAACCGGAGTTGCAAATGAAGCCCGGGATTTACTCCTCATGGAATGAGGAGAAACAGTTAATTTGAACTAAGGAGTTAGTTTGAATGAACGTTTAACTGCCGCATCTAGCTGCGGGCAGTTAGTTTGGACTAAGGGGGATTTAAAAATGGTGGCGCCCAGGAACATGCAAATGAAGCCCGGGATATTTAAATCCCGGGCTTCATTTGCAACTCCGGTTGCCCTCATTTGCCTACCTAGCTCCAACTAACGAGCTAGTGTAGACATACCCTAAGAGAGGAAAATGGGGTCTATTACAGTTTATCTTTATTGGTGTCTAGGGTGTGTCACAACTTCCCCTTTTGGACATTCGCCAGGCTTCTGTGTTGGAGTCACATCACTGGGCCTCTGTGATTCAAAGGTCCCTTCCACTATGAAAGCATGACTGCTTATTCTTTTCAGCCCCAAGCATTTTTTATTTCTGAGTCCCCCTATCCTTGTTTGCTATTAAATGCTAATATTAGAACCTGGTTTCTTTGTTTAGCATTCTGGAGAAATTCCACTGCTCTGAACCATAGCTCTATTCAGAGAAAACACATTTTTCCTGACTTATCTAGGATGCTATATATGGGCAAGGTCTACTAAGGGTCTGATTACAATTGTCCTAGTTAAGAGACACCTGCAGGTACCTCTCTTTTTAGCTCAAGGCGTATAAGGTAAGGACTCAGCACATGAGGCTTAAATACATGGTGACTTTATAATATTGTAAGTTGTACGTAAGCAAATTCCCCAAAGTGTCACAAGATGTTTGTACAGATCCCCCAAATTATATTACATATATTTCTCAGAAGGAAAAACAAAAACAATGGGAATACATAGGATTGGAACAAGGTAATGATACAGCTCCACTAGAGCACTTTCTATTTTCTTTTTACTATTTTTATTTCTTTGGTCCAGATTGTTCATAGCTGCTCCCCAACTAATGCAGGAAAGGAGACAAGTAGCCCATCCACCTTGCATTCCTTAACAATTGGCTAGCTAGCTGCATAAGGAGCTGCATGCTACTTGCACCCCCTCAGAAGTAGTTGTGGGTATCTTCCCTCTCTGGTGCGTTGTCTTAGCAGCACTGTGATGAGGGTCTGTTCCTTAAAGGCACAGTTGAGTCAGTTGCTAGATTCCATCATTTTTCACAATGTTTTTACTTTCTCTCCCGCTTTCTCTCAGTTGTTTGAAACTCCTGAATGTGGAAATGGATATGTAGAAGCAGGAGAAGAATGTGATTGTGGTTTCCGAATGGTAAGTTTAAAATGTTCTTATGTTGTTTTTGCAGCCCCTGCTCACAATAATATATTGATCTAATGTTATATGGGGGGAAAATTCAACACAATAGTCTTCTATGCTGCCTGCCTGTGAGAGAACTTTGATCAGAGAATTGCATTAGTCAACTTTCTGTAGAAGAGAGAAAGCATTCTTCCTAATGAGAAAATATTTTTCTTCTACACTGTTATGCTTAATCTGACATATAGAAGAAACTTGTTGCCTTTCCGATTTTCCCAGTCCACTTTACATTTTACTTTCAGTATTCACAAACAGGGAAGAATTAATAGGGGAAATAGAAGTAGGTGACAACCTGGCCAACAGTGACTATGAGATGGTTGAATTTAGGATCCTGAAAAAAGGAAGAAAGGAGAGGTGCAGAATACAGACCCTGGATTTCAGAAAAGCAGACTTTCACTACCTCAGGAAAATGATGATGAGGATCCCCTGGAAAGCTAATAAGTGGGGGAAAAGGAGTCCAGAAGAGCTGGCTGTATTTTAAAGAAGTCTTATTGAGAACTCAGAAATAAACCATCCCAATGTGCAGAATGGCAGGTGACCAGCTTGAATCCTAGAATCAGAGAGCTGGAAGAGACCCCAGGAGGTCATCAAGTCCAGCCCCCTGCCCATGGCAGGACCAATCCCAACTAAATCAACCGAGCCAGGGCTTTGTCAAGCCGAGACCTACAAGCCTCGAGGGATGGAGATTCCACCACCTCCCTAGGTGCTTCACCACCCTCCTAGTGCTTCACCACCCGTGAAGATTCCACCACCATTCCACCACCATTCCCGTGCTTCACCACCCTCCTAGTCAAATAGTTTTTCCTAATATCCAACCTAGACCGCCCCCACTGTAACTTGAAACCATTGCTCCTTGTTCTGCCATCCATCAGTACTGAGAACAGCCTCTCTCCATCCTCTTCAGGAAGTTGAAGGCTTCTGTCAAATCCCCCCTCACTCTTTTCTTCTGCAGACGAAGGAAACCCAAATCCCATAGTCTCTCTTCATAAGTCATGTGCTTCAGCCCCCTAATCATGTTGGTTGCCCTCTGCTGCACCCTCTCCAATGCATCCACATCCTTTCTATAGTGAGGGCCCCAGAATTGGACACAATACTCCAGATGTGGCCTCACCAGAGCCGAATAAAGGGGAATAATCACGTCTCTGGATCTACTGGCAGTGCTCCTCCTTATGCAACCTAATATGCCGTTAGCCTTCTTGGCTAAAAGGGCCCACTGTTGACTCATATCCCACTTTTCATCCATTGTAATCCCCAGGTCCTTTTCTGCAGAACTGCTACTTAGCCAGTTGTTCCCCAGCCTGTAACAATGCTTGAGATTCTTGAGACTCTACACTTGTCCTTGTTGAACCTCATCAGATTTCTTTTGGCCCAATTCTCTAATCTGTCTAGGTCACTCTGAACCCTATTTCTACCCTCCAGCATATCCACCTCTCCCCCTAGCTTAGTGTCATCCGCAAACTTGCTGAGGGTGCAACCCATCCCTTCATCCAGGTCATTAATAAAGATGTTGAACAAAACCGGTCCTAGAACCGATTCTTGGGATACTCTGTTAGAAACCGACTGCCAAGCTGACATTGAGCCATTGATCACTACCCGTTGGGCCCAAAAGTCTAGCCAGCTTTCTATCCATCTTAGGGTATGTCTAGACTACATGCCTCTGCCGACAGAGGCATGTAAAATAGGCTACCCGACATAGTCAATGAAGCAGGGATTTAAATATCCCTGGTTCCATTAAAATAAAAATGGCCGCTGCGCTGTGCCGGCTCAGCTGATTGTCGGTACAGCACGGCAATCAAGACGCGGATCAGTCAACAGGGGAAGCCTTTGTTGACCGCTCCTGTAAACCTCGTTTCACGAGGAATAAGGGAGCGGTCGACAAAGGTTTCCCCTGTCAACTGATCTGCATCTTGACTGCTGCGCTGTACCGACAATCAGCTGAGCCGGCACAGCGCGGCGGCCATTTTTATTTGAATGAAGCCAGCGATATTTAAATCCCCGCTTCATTGACTATGTCGGGTAGCCTATTTTACATGTCTCTGTTGGCAGAGGCATGTAGTCTAGACATATCCTTACAGTTCATTTATCCAATCCATACTCCCTTAACTTGCTGTCAAGAATATTCTTGCCAGCTTGGCTTACCAAAGAAATCTTAGATGAGCTTAAACACAAAAAGGGAAACTCACAAGAAGTGGAAACTTGGACAAATGACTAGGGAGTAGCATAAAAACACTACTTGAGCATGCAGGGGTGTAATCAGGAAGGCCAAAGCGCATTTGGAGTTGAAGCTAGCAAGGGATGTGAAGGATAACAAGCAAGTTTATTACAGGTATCCTAGCAATAAGAATTTGGTCAGGAAAAGTGTGAGACCCTTACTGAATGGAGAAGGCAACCTAGTGACAGACAGTGTGGAAAAAGCTGAAGAACTTAATGCCATGATCTTCACAGACAAGGCCAGATCCAGACCACTGCACTGAGCAGCACAGGATGGGGAGGAGGTGAGCAGCCCTCAGTAGTGAAACAACAGGTTAAGGACTATTTAGAAAAGCTGGACATGCAAAAGTCCATGAAGTGTTAAGAGATTTAGCTGATGTGATTGCAGAGCCATTGACTGTTATCTGAAAAATCTTGGCAATCGAGGGAGGTCCAGGACATTGGAAAAAGAAAAGTTTACTGCCCATCTTCAAAAAGAGGAGGAAGAAGGAGCCGGGGAACTACAGACTGATCAGCCTCACTTCCATACCTGGAAAAATCATGGAGCAGATCCTCAAGGAATCAGTTTTGAAACACTTGGATGGTTGGTGCAGTTAACATGGGTTCACCAAGGGCAAGGAACCTCACCAACCTGATTGCCTTCTATGATGATATACCTGGCTGTGTGGATATAGGGAATACAGTGGATATACCTTGACTTTAGCAAAGCCTTTGATTCGGTCTACTATGAGAGACCTGCCAACAAGTTAAAGGAGTACAGCTTGGATGAATGGACAATAAGATGGATAGATCATCAGGCTCAATGGGTGGTGATCAGTGGTTTGATGTCTAGTTGGCAGCTGGTCGGAAGAGGAGTACTCTAGGAGTCAGTCTTGGGGCTGGTTTTGTTCGACATCTTCATTAATTATCTGCATGATGGATTGGTTTACACTCTCAGCGAGTTTGCAGATGACACTAAACTGGGATGGGAGGTAGATGCATTGTCAGGTTAGGATAGGGACCAGAATGACTCAGACAAATTAGAGGTTTGTGCCAGGAAAAAAATCTGATGAGGTTCAAGAAGGACAAATACAGAGTCCTGCACTTAGGACAGAAGAATACCATGCATTGCTATAGGCTGGGAACTGACTGAGTAGGCAGCAGTTGTGAAGAAAAGGACCTAGGGATTGCAGCTGATAAGAAGCTAGATTGTTGCCAAAAAGGCTAACTGGGCTGCATTAATAGGAGCATTGCTATCAGATCAAGAGAAGTGATTATTCCTGTCTATTCAGCATTGGTGAGGCAACATCTAGAGTATATTGTCCAGTTTTGGGCCCCCACTATAGAAAGAATGTGGACATATTGGAGTCCAATGGAGGGCAACAAAAATGATTAGGGGTTTGGGGCACATGATTTATGCAGAGAGTCTGAGAGAACTTGGCTTCTATAGTTGTCAGAAGAGAAGAATTAAGGGCGGTTTGATAGCAGCCTTCAACTACTTGAAGGGGGGTTCCAAAGAGGATGAAGCCAGGCTCTTCTCAGTGGTGGCAGATAATAGAAGAAGAATGGTCTCAAGTTTGTACAGAGGGCTGGACTAGATGAATTCTTGAGTCTCTTCCACTCCTAATCTTTTATGATTCTGTGTAGCTTGCTGAACTCTATGATCAGAGGCAATCATGATGAGGGGGCTGGGATAAAACAGCATTACACCATTTATAAGAGCACAAAGAAAGAAGAGCAAAAAGCTGGGGAAGGGCTGAATGACAAAAAGCTACAGACAGAAGAGAGAATAAATTCTATATCCATGCCTACATCCAGAACAAGGGAAGATATGAGGCATGGAGGAGGAATTTATTCTCTTTTTTTTTTTTTTTTGTCTGGGGGCCTTCAATAAATGGTGATAGGAAAGAAGTTAGTTATGTAAACACCAAGGGCGCTCTCTCTCTTTCTCTTTCTCTCACACTCACACACACACACACACACACACAGACTGAGCCATCGATTGATGGATCTCATCTTGTATGTTGGTAAGCGACTAAACCAATCCTTGATCAGCAAATCTGATTACAGGTGTCCCATAAAAATCCACAATCTGTGAGTGTTGTACATTCTTTTTGAATCCTACGCTTTTCTTGTAATTGCTGGATATGTTGATTGTCAAAGCGTTTGAGAACCTGTACAATAGTTTGCTGCCAGAAAAATCTGTCCAGAGCTGTGATTTTCAGGTCACTGGGAGATACGCTGCATGACTTCACATTGACCTTTAAGATTTCATTATAACCCTTATATGACTACTTACTACAAGAGGTGTTAGGACTGTTTCCCATTCTGGCACCTTGAGTGCAGAAGGTGCGGGCCTGCAAAAGAACTTAAATACCTTGCCTCTTTTGGTTCTACTTACAAAAACTCTCCAGAGTCACAGATTCACTGACCCTGCTACCATCAAGTGAATTAAATAATCCCTGAAAACCAGGAAGAAACACTTGAACTTCTTCCCAAGGGGTATCTCAAGATCTTTTGCCTTAAAAGAGCTTGAAAAAAAATAAACAAAAAGCACAGAAAACAAACTGTCTCTGATCGCTGACCTCTCAGCTAGGCAGGCACACACAGAAACACCTTCTGTTACCTTCCAGGACATGGGAATCAAATTATAGCTTTAAAAAAACAAAACAAATGGTAAACTTGAGAAAGCATACTTGGTTGCTAAGTATGACAGAGCAACTAAGAAAAGAACAGATCAAAACACAAAGAAACACAGTCTCTTTGGGCTACAGCTTAGATATGGTGAATGGGGGAGGGAAGGCACATAGAATTCACATAGAGAAGTTTAATCAAACAGCAAAATAAATAAAAATACCCCCATTACGACTAAACATACACTTCTCTGTCTGCTCACTATCCATACTCTCAGGCCCAGTCCATTCCCATACCCAATTTTTCTTATAAGCGTGGTAATTCTGTTTGATTACTTCATCTTGTCTCCTCCCGCTGCTAACTTAGAATTCAACACACAAGAAGAGTAGCTGGGTATCTATATTCAATTTACATTTCAAAAGCCTTTCCCATTGACTTTCCTGGCTTTCTGCCAACAACCCTAGTTACCTGAGTTTAAGCCCTTACTCACCAGGTGTTGTCCATCACAAGAGGTAAATCTTTAGTTCCAAGAGATAAATCTTCACTTATGAATGGTTGTGAGTTTCAACCCCGCTCTTTCTTCTCAAGCCAACCATCATGAACAGGAACTGCAACATGAACACTTGAGGGAGAGAACACAGGTTTGAGAGACGAGTTGCGTTCTCCTAGACAGATGTATCTAAAAAAGGCTTAGCGAGCTCTGTCTGTCATGGTTTGAAATCAGAGTTTCCCTTTTTCTGTCCATGGCACCTTATTCCATATGGTTTGGCGCAATCCCTCGAGATCACTCCATGGAGGGCTTCCTCAATCTGCCATCTTCAGGTTGTATCTCTACACCATTATATCCCAGCGTGAGGAGCTGATCTAGAATAAAGGGGTTGGCAGAGTTTCCACTTGAGCTTGCTAATTATACTTCAAGGATTTCTGTTCATTCCCCCTATAGTGAACTGAGTCTCTTGTTGCTTCAGAATCAGAAGTCGTTTCCAAAGCTTTGTCATCTGTGGTTGCACAAATGTACCTTCGATGTGTACTGAATGTTCAGTGCCTAACGCTGTATTAGTTAGTGCAGCCTCAGTTCCTTCTTTTCCACTGCTAAGAGCATTAAGGAAGCCATTAGCTTAGTCCAAGTCTTTTTCTGCAGATCTTTATTTACGTTCTTTTAGTTCTTTTGTAAATAATGGTATATACAGCTATTTCTTTTAGCAGTTTTCTCTAGGGAGTGCAAATTGCCCCAATTGCTTACATTGGCATGGAGTCCATGTTGGATTCTTATCCTCAGCAAGTTTGAGACTATATGCATTGTCTCTTTAGATGATCCCAAATCCAATATCTGGTTGTTGCTATAGAATTTTTTCCACGGATTTCTCTGCTAATTTGATGATTAAATAGCATAAAAGATTCTTTCATTTTATTTTCTAGTCAATGGAGGTTTGAATCCTTTCTCTGATGATACAGGATGGTGTGTTTGGATGGTTGAGAAAGAATAAGTGTACAGAATGGAAGATTCATAGAACACTTAATGTATTTTCTTTAGGAATGCTATGAAAATTGCTGTAAGAAGTGCTCTCTCTCAAATGGAGCTCACTGTAGTGATGGACCCTGCTGTAATACATCCTGCCTTGTGAGTCGTCTTATAGCATTTTTTTCTGTTTACTCTGTCTTCCCTTGAATTAATGTACCTGATACAGGTTAAACACTGGGTCGCAATGTGGGGAGAGGGAAACATGCCACATAGGCTGAATCAAAATGTTTTTAAGGAACAAAACAAGAACAGTGGCCTTCAGACAATGTGACAGTCGATGGGGATTATGTGTATGTGGCTATTCTTAATGTATACAGAGACTTACCATACATCTGGATTTGATTCATTCCACCGCTGTGCTATATGGCCATTCTTCTTTGACAGATGTCCCTGTGGATGCTCCACATTAGGCTGGTGCCCCGCCGCCGCACCTTCAATCGGTGACTTCAGAGCAGTGTCCCTGGGGCCATGCACGTGCACAACCGCAGCTGCATGCTCCTAGGTTGCAAGCATCGCGCATGCGCAAGCCCTCCCAATTCCCTTCCTCCACTGCCTCCGGCGAGAGACGGAGCTCAGCAGTGCTCCCTGCCTCGGCTTGTGTCTAGATAAGTCATTCTTCTTTTTGGCTACGTTTTATGCTTGGTGTCCCAATTAGTTAGTTGTTAGGAGTTTCTAAATCCAGTTTAAAAAGAGAAAAAAGCAAAAGAAGAAGGTTGTTTCCCTGGTTAGATATATAGCTAGTACTATGCCCGGCTCATCAGGTTTTAAGTGCTGCTCCTCCTGCAAAGACCCCGTTCTGGTGTCTGACAGACACGCAATGTGTCTGCTGGCTTGGAGAGGCGCACGTTGCTCAAAGTGCCTGCACTGCGCAGAATTGAAATCCAGAGTGTGATGAGACGGAGACTTGTGTCTCAAGCTCATTTTATTAGAGAAATCGCTAAGACCAGTGCCAACCCAGGCCAACAGTCTCACGAACCAAAAGTGCAAAGAGATAAAAAGCCTGTGAAAAAGTGAGCCTCAGGAAACCCTGGCACCGAAATGGCCCTCTCTGTCATGGCCAGGAGCTGTGGTGGCACCGCACTTAAGCACTTATAACTCACCAGATGTCTCTGGAACCACCGGCACGGCTACAAAAGCAGAACGCTCAAAATCCCTCTCTCAGACATCAGGCTTTAAGTTGCCAGCCTCGTCAGCTGTGGCACCATCCGGCACAGACAACATCTTACCAATGCAACAAGCTAACTCAGCGCCAGTTATAACACCCAGCACTTAGGCGCCACTGTTGCACAGGCATAACTCGTCTCCTGCCCACTTGGCACCAAGGCACAATCCAACACCACAAACAGCCTCAGTGCTACTGACTACAGCACCGTCAACACTAGCAAAATACATGCAGCACAGAAACTTACTAGTCTCATTCACGCTTAATTCACCCTTTCTCAGTACCAATCATTCCCCTGGCACGCTAGCACAGCAACTCAAGCAAATGTGACTACGGAAACTACACCAAACTCAATGACTTTATTTCAGACATTCCTGAGGCAAAGAAACAGCAGTTCAGAACTCTGATAGCAGAGGGGCACGAGGGACACATGAGCTCCAGGACAGCCCTGCTATTGTCAGACCACATATTTGCACAGCACTGTCTACCACTGTGCACTTGTACAGGGACCTCTCTCCAAGCTAAAATTTGCCAGATCGGTCCTCTCCACTGCATTCTTGCCAGATGCGAAGTCCCTACTTCCTTAATGCGGAACAGCTTTGTAGTAACCTAATGTGGAGCACCCATGGGGACATCTCTCTCTCTCTCAAAGAGGAGATTACTCACCTGGACAATAACTGATGTTCTTCAAGATGAGTGTCCCCATGGGTGCTCCACTACCCTCCTTACCTCCCCTCTGTTTCAGATTTCTGGCCTCCTTAATAGGCTTGTTCCGGGGTAGAGAAGGAACTGAGCGAGGGGCAATGTCTGCAGCCCAGGGACACTGCTCTGAAATCTCTGATTGAAGGCTTGACAGCAGTACACCGACCTAATGTGGAGCACCCACAGGGACACTCATCTCGAAGAATGTCAGTTACTGTCCAGATGAGTAACTTCCTCATCTTGGGTATTAAAGATTTTTACCTAATATTTCAAAAGATTATGCTGGCTTGGGCCACATGACTTTCATTGACTTTGATATGGTTCAGATAGCTGAAATTTTGATCAATGCTTTGAAAATATTATTGAGATTGTTAAAACCAGATTACTTTTATTTTTCTATTTACTTTTATCTAATTGAATTGAGCGACTTTTAAACTGCTTAATGTTTTGTGTGCTGTAACCTAACAGTATGTAAAGTTGTAAAATGCATTTATCTTCTTCAGCATGAAATAGCAAATATTTGAACTTGTACTTTTGGTAGCATTACCTGACATCCAGCAGAAACACTTGGAAGCCACACAGTATGATACATACCAACTGTTGCTGCAATATGTAGTGCAGGCTTTCTTCTCTAATGCAGCTTGGCAATAGCAGATACTGAAAGGCACTACTGGACTTGATAGTTCATTGTTAAATTTTGTGGTCCAAAATTCTGGATTGTGAGTAATTTAGAAAAAAGATAATTGAGATGCTGCTCTCATAGTGATTGTATTGGTAACAAAGTGATATCCTGTCTCATGCACAGGACTTTAAATGAAATCACTGGGAGCCTTTCATGCATAGCTTATAGCTAGATATCTGAAAAATGTTGTTAGAGACCAAGCAAGGACGTGAAATCCTAAAGAATGTGGCTTAAAAACTGTTCCATGGAAGCTAGAAGAATTGTGTGTCTCAAAATCCTTTTGACTTGGGGAAGTTGATATAATTTCTCAGATAACTATCTAAATGTACTTAAAAAATACAGGACGAGACTGGGTTGAGATTTAGTATCTTTGTTGGTTAATAATAATACAAGTCTCAGTATTTTCCCAGCAGAATTAAATCTTTACATTTTTTCCCTTTCATGTAATTTGTTAATTGTATAAAGTACGAAGGGAGGTCAAGTGATTACAAAATTAACCAGTGTTAATTGTGTAATTAATCACATGGCTAAACAATAAATTACCATTTATTTAAATTTTGTGGGTGTTTTCTACATTTTCAAATATATTGATTCCAAGTACAACACAATACAAAATGATCAGTGCTCACTTGATATTTATTTTATTACAAATATTTACATTGTGAAAACAAAAGAATATTACTTCTCAATTCACCTTATACAAGTACTGTAGTGAAATCACTTTATCATGAAGGTTACAGATGGAGAATTATGTGCAAAAAACTTCATTCAAAAATTTAAAAATGTTAAACTTTAAAGCCTACAAGTCCAATCAGTCTGACTTCTTGTTCAGCCAATTGCTCAAACAAGTTTGTTTACATTTGCACAAGATAGTGCTGTCCACTTCTTTTTTACAATCTTTCCTGAAAGTGAGAACCTCTAAAGATTCATATGTCCCTTCATTTTTCAACCACCATTCCAGAGGACATACATCCATGCTGATTGATAACAATCCAAACTGGTGCAGACCAATTCATATTAATTTTCCTCATCTGAGTCAGATTGCCACCATCAGAAGGTAGATTTTTTTTGAAGGTTTGGGTTCTGTAGTTTTCTCATCAGTGTTGTACTTCTAAGAATTTCTGAAAATATGCACTGCATCTCATCCATCTCAGATTTTGGAAAGTACTTCAAATTCTTAAACCTTGGGTCAAGTGCAGTAGCTATCTTTAGAAATTTCACATTGGAACATTCTTTGCCTTTTATCAACTCTGCAATGAAAGTATTCTTGAAAGAAACATATGCTAGGTTATCATCTGAGACTGCTATAAAATGAAATACAGGTTGAACCCGCCATTTTCGCGATCGGGGCTTTTTTGTGGAAAACAAATCTGAGCTGTCTACACTGGCCCTTTTGCGCAAAAGTTTTGTGCAAAAGGACTTTTGCCCGAACGGGAGCAGCACAGTATTTCCGCAAGAACACTGACAATCTTACATGAGATCATCAGTGCTTTTGCGGAAATTCAAGCGGCCAGTGTAAACAGCTGGCAAGTTTTCCGGAAAAGCAGCCAGTTTAGACACAGCCAGGTATTACAAAATGTAGGTTCCTGAGTTAGTCACGCAGTATTTCTGTACTAAAGGCTTCCTCTGGATATGGTTTGTTCTTTGTAGTATTCAATGGGCAAGACTCAAAGGATATTGATACTGATACTCATTTGAAAATAGAGAAATATAGCTTTGAAACATAAGAAATATTTCTTAATAAGAGTCTGGAATATGTGAGTTTGTGCCATTATATAATCTCAGTCCTAACGAATGGTCATTGTATTCTAGTTTTTCCCACGAGGTTATGACTGTCGGTATGCAGTGAACGAGTGTGATATTACAGAATACTGTACTGGTGACTCTGGTCAGGTATGCTCTCTTCGTACTCTATTCAGTGTTGTAAATCTTTTCATCCCAATTAAATATATTGTATTGAAATGACCAGTTCCCTCACTAGTTGTAAATATTAAAATGTATTTTGAATAGAAGTGTCTTTGAAGGTGTTTATTCTAGTGATTAGCAAGCAGCTGTTCTCAATTATTTAAAAAGCATACAGCCTGTTAAAAATGGAAGAAGGAAAACTAATAAAACAATACAAAGAGTGAATGTCACATACCCCAGACTCACAGTGTAGGTATGCATGTGTTAGCAAAAAGAAAAACAAGTATTTAAGGAAAGTAAAAGGAAAGAAAGCAATCAAAGAAATAAAGAAAGGAAAATTAAACTTGTTTGTGCTGTGCTGAATGATTTGTTTCAGAACATTATTTATCAAAAGAATAATGACAGAGAGGCTGCCTTTACTCAAACCCAATTAGAATTCCCTGGAGTTCAGTGATGGCACAACTTAGCAAAAATATTAAAGAAAAGGTATTCATTTAAAGCTGTATTTCATTCTACCCACTATAGATTCTTGACATTTCAGATATTGACTCATCTCCTTAATTTCCCTTAGAGATATGCAGTAAGAGTAGAATTTAACATGGCACTTCAAGGTTTATCAGACAATTAAAACTATTAGCTATTCATACCAGTATAATTGATTGTTGTTTGTGATTTTGGTGTGAGCTACTTAAAGGTTACATGAGTCAAATGGAATCCTAGAGACCTTGGCTATAGCAGTCTCTTGGCTGAAAACTGAAGAAAAAAATTAAACTTTTACTTTTTACTGATGAAATGTATTTATCTTAAGCACAAGCATTACAATTTTTGTTTACCACAGAGCCAGGATTTAAGTAGAGAATGAAATCTGTCATATCAAAGAGCACTTCTAGAGATTTAGATAGAATAATATGCTCATTTTTTCTCCCTCTTTCCTCATACACACGAGCAGTGAGCAGAAGAAAACAACAAAATAATGCTCTGGGAATCTGGCATTTGCACTGGCTCCTAAAACTCTTTTTGGGTAAGATTGTTTGGTCCTGCACAGTGCACAAGTGGAAAGGGATTGTAGGCCAATCATAAAGTGATCCTTGCTGTTCCCTGAATACAAAGACTGAGCAAGATTGATGTTGTCAAGAGTGGTATTTCCAGAGTTTGTGGGGAGGGAGTGGGGCAGTGCCCTCATTCCCATCTGTCCCTCAGAGTTAATGAATGCAAAGAGGAGTTGAAATTCCAGCCTCCTCTTATTGGGTAGAAGAGCAAGTCTAACACTAGCCCTGGTGATGCCATTAAAATGGGATTGTGGCTCACTTTGAGGTCTTGACCAACAGTCTGAGGGCTGCTGAACTAGACTAAAATCCTGGCCTGGTGTTCTCTCTTCATAGGTGTTCAGTCATCAGCTGAAACTAACATGGCCAAATGCAATGGTTTTAACTTTTCCCTGAAGCCCACCCCTTCCCTTCTTCTATCATTATGGGCTTTGTCTCTCAAGATGATAGTCTTAGCTTTGTAAAGGTTGAACTTCCCAAATCCAGGACTCTCTGGTTCAACAACACACGTGGTCCAGCAAGGCCACAGATGTTGCTGGATCAAAGAGCCCCAGAAGTGGGAGCCACATGGGAGAACGCAGGGTGTGTAGAGTCCCGGCTGGGGGAAGAACCCCAGCATCAGCAGGGCCAGGCAGCATCGGGGAGCCTCTCCCCCGGTCAGGGAACCCCCCAGTGTCAGTGGGGTCAGGCGGCCGGAGAGCCCCTGGCAGCAGGACCAGCAGCAGCCAGAGAACCCCAGGAACCCTCCTGTCAGCAGTGGGGCTGACATGGCCAGGTAGCCCTGACCTGGAAACCACTGGTGGCAGCAGGGCCAGGCAGCAGGTCCCGGGAGCTCTGGCTGGGGAACTGTGGTGCAGGGCCAGGCCACAGCTGGGGAGTCCCACCCCCAGCAGGGAATACCTGGTGGCAGTGGAGTTGGTCTGGCAGCTCCGGCCAAGGAACCCCGGAAAATGCCCAGTGACAGCGGGACCAAGCTGCAGCTGGGGGGCTGGCAATAACTGGATGGCCTGAGGCTGAGGAACCCCAAGGAACCCCCAGTGGGTTGATGGCAGCCGGGCAGCCCCAGTGAGGAACCCCTGGGATCCTCCAGAGGCAGTGGGGCTGGCAGCAGATGGGCAGCTCTGTCTGGGGAACCCCTGGCGCAGCCTGCAGGCAGCAGGGCAAGCAGAGCCTCAGCCGGGCCAGTTTTAGCAGGGCAGCAGCAGTGCGAGTAACCCCAGCCTTGGGAGCCCCAGGGAGAGGAGCCGGCAGCAGGGCAATCAGCAGGGAAGCATTGACCTCTCCTGGTTTGGCTAACTCCCTGGTCCAGGATAGCTCAGTCCCAAGGGTGCCAGACCAGGGAGATCCAACCTGTATTTCATTTGAGCCTTTCTCTCTCTCTTTTGGCCCTGTTGCCTGAGGGCTTGTCCTTCCCAAGTTCATTCAACATGCTACTCCCTGGCTTGTCACTTGGACTGCATTACTATCCTTTTACAGTTCTCTTGGATCCCTGTCTTCCGTCACGTCTAATGTAGATTTCTTATCCTAACTTTCCACTGGTTAGCCCTGCCTATCTGTCCATCTTTCTGAAAGGTTAACTCCTGGCTCTGTCAGTGATTGCAGCCTTGAAAGCTCTCATCTGCTTTTTTCACAAGCATCTTTGTGCTTTCTTCTATGCTGCTGCCTTGCATAGCAAAGTTTCCAGTCAGAATCCTTAATCACCACATCATCAATCTTTAAGGCCCTTCTCAGGCTCACCTCTGCCATTTGTACTATCATCTGGCAGTTGTGATTATTGCTAATACACAGTTAAGATTTGTGTACACAGTTAGAGCTGATGCACATGAAAATTAATCCAGAATACGATAAAGTGAATTTTAAAGTAGATCAATGCTGTCAAAGCTTTAGAAATGGATTAAACGAATTTGGAATAAGGCATTCTTGTCCCAGAATAAGTTTGTCCACACATCAAGGTAGTCAGAAATAGTTACCTCAGAATAATGTCGTATGTAGATAAGCCCCAACTCTGCACTAAAATATCCCATTCTCCCCCTAGCCTGCTTGTTTGTCTCATCCATCTGTTATGCCAGTCTCTCAGACTAAGCTCTGCCAGGCAGACTTAATTTTATACAGTGACTTATTCAATAGGACTGTCATAGTTGAGTCATGTAGGCACTACCTTAAACAATAATACTAATGAAATAATATAGTATTTAAAATGAGTCAGCGTAGCAGAATTGTAACCTAAATTTATGGGCTGCTGGAATGAAAAAAATAAGCAAGTATCATGAGAAAAAGGAGAGCCCTGGAAAATCTAGCAATGTATGCAGATTAATGGCCAAAAATGAAGCTCAAACAAGAACAACACTGCTGGAATCCAGCTAAGAAAGTACATGTACTTAGAAGCAGAAGTGGCTAAAAATCCTGCATGTTAGAAAAGATAAGTAAAATATGCAAATGTAAACTATTAAACCAATACGAGAAATAAGAGGAAAATGACAAAAATGGACTTCCAAATTTCTCACAGCAGAGTGAATAAATAGATAAACTTCTAAAAAGCTAAGAGATTATTTAAAATGTAGTCTCTGAAGACAGTTAAAAATGGACAATCTGAAGCATTGTTTCTCCTTCAAGTGGTGTCCCTGTTGGTGCTCCATTCAGATGTCGGTGCATCCTCGCGCCGGCAGTCAGGCTAAAAATCTCCAACAGTGCCTTTCCACACCACACATGCAAAGTCACTGTCTTGCGCTGTTTTGTCCATTAGCTGTATGCGGGGTGCAGGTCCCCTCAGTTCCTTTTCTACCATCCTTGGCAGAAGATGGAGTTTCGGACCAGTGCTTTTTCTGAGAGGAAAAAAGAAACCTGTTAGATAATTTAATTGTTGTTTTAGTCAGTTCCAGATTACTTTTTCTTCGAACCTACAGTTAAAAAAAAGTTGCTCCCCATTTTTTTTTCTTCTTCCAAGTTCTTTGTACTCCAGATTCATCATGCTGGGTTCCCCCAGCTTTAAGAAATGTGACTTATGCAGAGACCCCCATGCCGATTTTGGATGGGCATGCCTCTTGCATAAAATGACTTGGTGAGGGCCATGTAGTGCAGAAATGTCAGCACTGCCAGAGCATGGCCGCCAGAGCTAGAAAAGACTGTGAGATGGGGCTCAAAAATTTACTTTGAGAGAAATCCCTTCAGCTGCCGGATCTGAAGAAAACTGCTACTTTGGAACCCTCAACTCGGCGAAAGAGTGCCAATTCATCTCCTCCCAAGAACTCCCGCGGGCCCTAGTCGTTACTGGCGGTGCCTTGAATGTCCCACACCGCACGTTCTCTGGTGCCATCCACTTCCAGCGCTGCGGAAAAGTGGAAAGTGGCACCATCAGAAAGGGTGGAGTCAGAGCCAAAGAGAAAAGCTAGCTCCTCCACACCAACCAGCAGGGTTCTGCCCACAAATGCAGACTTGCCACCGTCTCCAGTACCGATGGACATTGCAGCACCATTATAACCATCCTCTTCTCAAGAAGTGCCGGCACCCAAGCAAACAATGGCACCAGATGTTTCAAGACTAAGAAGAGGACTGAGACACGGCACCGAACACCACAGCTGCTGATCGGTGCAGGCAGACTTTCACCTCCACACTCTCCTACCATTATGGAGACTAGCCCACACCGCTGCTCACCAGAGAATATTTTCTTTTCACCTACACCATCCTCTCTGGGCACCAGCACCGGTCATGGTAGCAGATTCTCCTCCCAGCATTCATCGCTATCCAGTTGAGTGGCGTCTTGGTGCTCAATCAGGTACCAATCATCCCATAATCGACCTCAGTAACCCAGGTTCAACCATCCGTGGCCATACACACCTCAGCAATATCAACCTATTGGCCACCCTGGGAACCGTGGAATAAGTACCACACTCGCTCCTCCCCATCAGTATGAATCACAAAAAACAACAGCAGCTACTCGCTGTCCCCCTACTACCACCCAATCATCTCCGGTCCATCTGACATAATCACCTTCAGTGACAACCTGGCTGATCCAGTGGAAGAAGACAATGACTTACCCCAATCAGACTTGGACAGTCACTCTCCAGCCACCCCAGTCCTTTTCGTCTCCCAATGAGGCTGTGTTCCCTTCCTTCTCTCCTGGCACAATTTCAGGACCTATTTAAAAGGGTGGCACAGTCTCAAGACATCGCTCTACAGGAGGTACAAAAAAAGCAGCACAAATTGCTTAAGATACTATAACCTACCACCTCATTTAAAGTAGCCCTACCAATCGATAAAGCCGTGGAGGATCCGGGCGGCGGTACCGCGGAGCTAGTACACCCCCCCCAGCAGATCAGGATTTTCTCCGGACGCCTGTGGTAGAGCAGCTGGGGCGCTGCCGGTTGGTCCCGCAGCGCCACTCTGGGCACTACTGGACCAACCCAGCAGCACCCCAGCTGCTCTGCCCAGGCCCCCCCAAGCCCCCCCGCTGCGGAAACTGACCAGCACTGACTACAGGAAGCCCAAGGCAGAGTTGCTCTGCCCCAGGCTTCCTGGAATCAGCCACTGATCAGTTTCAGCAGCAGCTGACTTGGGGATGCCTGGGGTTCTTAAGTTGAATCTGTATGTAAGAACTGGCGTCCAGATTCAGCCTGTTGAAACTGATCAGCGGCTGATTCCAGGAAGCCCGGGGCAGAGCAACTCTGCCTCCCTGTAGTCAGTCGCTGGTCAATTTCAGCAGCGGCTGAATCTGGACGCCAGTTCCGACTTACATACAGATTCAACTTAAGAACAAACCTACAGTCCCTATCTTGTACGTAACCCGGGGACTGCCTGTAATTCAAAATATGCAACTGTATGACTGTTTATGAACTTACCACAGAAATATATGTAGCTATCTAAAGCTGCGTTATTATTTGGTTGTGGTAAAATTAATGAACTCTCAATTTCAAATTCTTAATCCCTTTTTATTTATATTGTGTAGCATTTCCATGTTTTCTTAAGTTTATCATTGCGGAGAATAACTATGGAAAGTTATTCTTTTTGTGATCTGTATATTGGTTGCATAACTCTGCAGCCAGGATCTTCTACAGCTAAATTCATAGACTTCTTTCTACAAGGGACAGATTTACCCTGTGTAGAGTTCTGTGCTGGTTCTAAGAGTTGGGGTTATGCCCACTTGAATCTGGGACCTCTAGGAGCAAGTTTGATCCTTACAGCTGCTTAGAACAATCCCAAGGGCTGCCCTAACTCGTGCCCAGCTGCTTATGGACTTTGTGGCTGCTCATGAACAGCTGAGGTAAGGTCTGTCCTAGCCACATCCCCTCACCTGTCAGTTGACTAGGAATGTCCCTTCCCCCACATCAGTGACTCTTGCAGGAGAGAGGAGGGTATAGGTTTGAGTATAAGCAAGTTCTGGGTCTATCAGCAAGTCCTCCTGCATCAGGAATCATTCATCAGAGGCTCCACAACTGATTTGCAGCCCCTTTGTGCCAAAATTATTTCTCTAAATATGTTCTGTGCAGTATTTTATGTGGGTTTATTACACTATACAATTTAGTCTGTTTATACACACACCTTAATAAAGGACCAGATAAAACAGAATGTTACAGGTAATGTTAATAAGTGAATGTTTCAGAAAGGTGGTAAAGTGGTGACCTCTCACATCTGTCTACCAACCCAGCAAGCACTTTTGTCCTTAAGTTTTTACACTGTTTTGAGTATGTTTGGAATTTCTTCTGTTTACTGTGAAACGGACCTCCCCCCCCCAATTACTTTCATTAAAAGTTTATTCTGAAACTCACAAATGTCTGGTTCCTTTTTTGTTTCATTCTCTTTTCCCTCTTGATTTGAGTTTCACTGTCAAACAACATTATGATATTTCTTAAACGGCTATATGATGTGACTTGTGTAACCTTTGTCTTCCTTCCTTCCTCCCAGCTGGCATTTGTTATTCCTTACCGCATGTCTCTCCATAGGGTGTAAATTCTTGGGGGTGCATTTACTGAATCAATTTAATTTGTCTGTAAAACACATTTTGGATACTATATAAACAGAATAAGCCTTCTTCATTATTTTTCCTTTTGAACTTTATACACTACAGTCATGTATCCTATGAATCTGTTTTCTAATAAAATATAAACCTAATTTTTCTGACTTCTTATACAGAAATTATAAATCGGGCACTACCAAATTCACAGTTTATTTAGATCAGTTTAAACCATACATTTAAATCTGAAATGTCAGTATTATAAATGTAAGGGTCCTGACCCAAAAAGGAGTTGTGGGGGAAATATAAGATTGTGAGGGATTGTATTGCCACTACCCTTATGTCTGCACTGCTGCTAATGCTGACACCAGTATGAGAAGTGGGTAGCTGGCAAGTCGTAGTTGCTGGTTGGGAAACCTATTCTGAAGGCAGAATTGCTGCCAGCAGCAGTGCACAAGTAAGGGCAGTACGATATGGTATTGCCATCCTCACTTCTGCACTGCTGCCTGCAGAGCTGGACTCGTAATCAGCAGCCACCATTCTTTGGATCCCCTTCCTTCTGTGCAGCTGCTGGTGGGAGTCCTGCAGCCAACCAGCTATGAAAGCAGCATGGAAGTAAGGGTATCAGTACTGTGACCCCTCTAAAATAATGTCTCTGCAACTCTCTTTTGGGTCAGGAACCCCAGTTTGAGAAATAACGCTCATCTCCCCTGTGAAATCTGTACAGCAATTCCTCATTTATCACGGTAGATACGTTTCAGAAAATGATCGTGCTAAGTGAAAACGAGTGTTACGTGGGGTCAATTTTCCCATTGAAAATAATGGAAAAGGTGGGGGTTGTGTTTCTAGTGCACGTGTGCTCGCAGCTCCAGCCTGCACTTGTTAGCAGCTGGGACCAGGACATAAGGTTGGGGGAGAAAAGGGACTGACTTATAGCAGGGAGGGGAGGAGTTTGGCTCTGGAGAAGAGAAGGGAAGGACAGGGGAGGGGGCTTGCAGCTGGCCACGAAGTTTCCTCAGCTGGCCGGTCACTAGGAGCTGCATGGAACTTCCCCTGCCTCCTTGCAAAGCGGCAGAAGTTCACCGCTCGCCGCACCGTGCCCCCGCGACCCCGTCTGGCTCAATGCCTTGCTCCCTCTCCTCCACCCCCCGCTTGCAGCTGTCAGCTGGGTTTCCCCAGCTGGCCAGTCACCGACAGCTGTGCGGGGCTTCCCCCTGCCTTCGGAGGTATGCTGCTCGTTGCGCCATTCCCCGGCGACCCCCTCTGGGGATTCTTCGCTCCCTCTCCTCTGCTCCCATTTACAGCCAGCAGCTGGGTTTTCCCAGCTGGCCGATCACCAGCAGCTGCGCGGGGCTTCCCCTGCCTCCCTGCAAAGTGGCAGAGGTTTGCCGCTCACCGCGCCATTCCCCGGTGACCCCTCCTCACCAGATGCGAGGCATCCAGACAGGGGGGGTCGCCGGGGAACGGCGTGGCACGCGGCGAACTTCTGCCACTTTGCCGGCCTGTAAGGGAAATCGTGTTATTGCGAGGACGGGTTGTGTTGTTCAAAAAATGTTCCCCTCAAAAAAATCGTGCTGTTGCAAAAACGTGTTAAGTGGGCACGTGTTAAGCGAGGAATTAGTGTATAGAATAGAGTACAAGATCAGATTTCATGGTTCGTGATTTGCTTTTCATGGCTGTGAATTTAGTAAGTCCCTAGTTATAATCATTGGGATCCTTTGCCATTCTTAGTGCTCTCTTCTGTTTTTAAATATTGTTTAACATCTGCAGTATGTGTTTATTGTCCTGCAGTTCAAAATGTTATAATTTGATGAAGATTTTTTCTTTTGATGTTCAGTGCCCACCAAATCTTCATAAACAAGATGGATATGCTTGTGATGCTAATCAGGTGTGTAACATTTTTAAACCTTTGCAAATCAATGAATAATGAATTCAGTGTAAATGTTCACTTCTTAAATGGCTTTTCTTCCTTATTTTTCAGTGTCTGTTTTATTCATAACAGTTTGTCAAACGTTGTGCACACAGAGCACTTATTAAATTTAAGGATATCATCCATCCTTCTCTTCAAGTTCTTCCCTCTCACTTTTCTGATTAGATTTGAAGCAATGTAAAGAAACTTACACTGATGTTCCCTGTGCTGTCAGTGCTGTTTTTAAACATTGAACATTTCAGTTTTAAGTACAGTCAGCTTGGCCCCTTTCAGTTCACTTTAAAATTCCACTTTCTCCACTGGCTTTTATTTCTGGCCAGCACACAGTGTGCAGAAAATAAAAATTCAAGACTGGTGAGGATCAGTGAGTACTCCAATGTACAAGTGTATATTTTTATGTAACTGCAATTATTTACTGATGTTAGTTCAGTTGAAGTTATCAGAAATGAAGGGCCAGATCTTTCATTACTTTGCATTTTATGCAAGCCTTTACACCTTATTAAGTGGATGTTTAATGCTGTCACTAGTGTGGGTGGGTAGAAAATCTGATTTGGCAGCATTTTCAATCCATTGTGGTGAGTTTAAATGACAACATGACTTGCAGTAGAGAATTAGGCCTTTAATGTATAAATATATTTTCCATTCCCCCTCCCCACAACAACTGCAAGCATGTTAAGAGGAGAGTATATCTCAATGTATAAAATGTAACTATCAAAATGAAACAAAACTAAAGGACAACATTTGATTTAAAATATAAAGTAATATGTTCAGTTTCCTTTCACTAATTTTTTGTATTTTTGTTTAGGGACGTTGCTATAATGGAGAATGCAAGACAAGAGACAATCAATGCAAATACATTTGGGGAATTAGTAGGTTGACATTGCCTACCTTAAGTATATTTTATTCATATGTATTCTTTAGTTTGTAGTCTCAGTATTTCCACGTACGGTATTACCTTCCTTCATTTAAAAGTTTCCACCATAGAGCAGAGAAAAAGTGCCTGAGATAATGAGTTACTTGTGATGTCATTTGAAGTTTGGGTGCTGTGATAAGTTGGAGCCATGGGAGCCGGGTGGTTATTACTTGCTGTGTTGTAGGTATAGGTAAGCTGAGCAGCATATTCTTTAGCTAACTCAGGCTGAAACTTGCCAGAAAATATAAAACTAAACTCTACAGGCACGTTAGATCTTTGGAGAAATGTCAGGTTGGCAGTCAGTTTCTAGCGGAGTGCCACAAGGACAGGTTCTAGGACCGGTTTTGTTCAACATCTTTATTAATGACCTGGATGAGGGGATGGATTGCACCCTCAGAAAGTTTGCAGATGATACTGTAGATACACTGGAGGTCAGGGATTGAGTCCAGAGTGACCTAGAAAGATTAGAGGATTGGACCAAAAGAAATCTGATGAAGTTCAACAACGACAAGTAAAGAGTCCTGCACTTGGGATGGAAGAATCTCACACATTGTTACAGGCTGGGGACCAACTGGCTAAGTAGCAGTTCTGCAGAAAAGGACCTGGGGATTACAGTGGATCAGAAGCTGGATATGAGTCAACAGTGTGCCTATGCAGCCAAGAAGGCTAATGGCATATTAGGTTGCATTAGGTGGAGCATTGCCAGCAGATCCAAATAAGTGATTATTCCCCTTTATTCAGCTCTGGTGAGGCCACATCTGGAGTATTGTATCCAGTTCTGGGCCTCTCACCATAGAAAATATGTGGACACATTGGAGAGGGTCCAGTGGAGGGCAACCAGAATGATTAGGGGGCCTGAGCACTTGATCTATCAGGAGAGGCTGAGGGATTTGGGCTTCTTTAGTCTGCAGAAGAGAAGAGCGGGGGCGGGGAGGATTTGATAGCAGCATTCAACTTCCTGAAGAGAGATTCCAAAGAGGATGGAGAAAGGCTGTTCACAGTAGTGACGGATGGCAGAACAAGGAGCAATGGTCTCAAGTTACAGTGGGGGAAGTCTAGGTTGGATATTAGGAAAAATTACTTCACTAGGAGGGTGGTAAAGTACTAGAATGGGTTACCTAGGGAGGTGGTGGAATCTCCATCCCTAGAGGTTTTTAAGTCTCGTCTTGACAACGCCCTGGCTGGGTTGATTTAGTTGGGATTGGTCCTGCCTTGGGCACAGGGCTGGACTTGATGACCTCCTGAGGTCTCTCCCACTCCTAGGATTCTATGATTTTAAATATTTTTTGCTTTCAAAATATTTCTTCATATCTGAACATAAATGTATGATTTTTAAAAAATAAATCACACAGATAACTACTGACTCCCTCGTCTTCAGGGAAGTCATGCACAACTAGATAATAATTTTGAGCGTAAGACAACAGACCTGAACTACCAGTATGTGTCAGTCTCTTGCACTCATATCATTGTGATGTTGGTGTATCAGATTCATCCCAACTTATGTGATTGTGGGGTATGAATGGCCTGAGAGAGAAAAATGAATGTCCTTACCCATTATGGTGTTAGGAGATTTCTACCTTTTGCTGTCTGATAAGCAACACAAGATATACTGCCTTTAATACAGAGAAGGATGTGGACAGTAGTTTTAGTGAACTCCTAGTATCTACCTCTTAATTCAATGACAGTACAGCGCACCTTTTTCTCTAATTGTATGGTTAAAAGTATTACGTTTTACGGCATCCAATCTCTTGTTATCTTGAACCTTTGTTATAATATTTTAGTTGAAATTATTTAGATTCTTTTCTGTATATGTGCCCTTGCTGTAACTAATCAATTTTATTTAGTTGTTACTTTTTGTTTTATGCTAAATAATGGAGACACTATTTTTTTAAATGGAAGAAAGTTTAAAGGGAAGTAATATTATAGTAACTCCATGAGTGTGAAAGGATGTTTACTGGTCCATCCACAAGCACAGAAAAGTAACATCACAGATCACATTCTGAAAATATCTTTTCAGACTCTGCCTTTGTTCTCTCTCTACTTTCAGCTGTTTCAACAATTTCCCATTATTGTTTGCTCATCCTTACCCACATCCAGCTTACAGCTCCTGCCTTTTTAGGTAGGAGAGAATCTGAAAAAGATTTATTCTTAGTGCAGTATTTTAATGTGAAGGAACCCAAAAAGACTAAACAAAAGAAAGATTAAAAATGTTTTAGATTGAAAGTGGCTTCTCTGTCCAAACCTACTTTATTAGGAAATTGAGGACTTCTCTGCTTGCACTGAAAAACCTTGAGTTAGTCTCAGAAAACACCAATGGGATCTTATGCTGTTCTCACTTATGTTTGTTTTGTAACTGTTTAATTTCTGTACTCCTGATTTACACTGGTATAAGTGAGAGGAGAATCAGGCCCCTTAAAATATCAAAAGGCAAATATCTTGTGCTAACAGAGAAAATATAATTCTACTTACACACCAGTATAAATCAGGAATAACAGTAGTGAAGAAAGTTAATTGTGCCACTATAAAACTGATGTAATTGTGAGAAGAATTCAACCACCAGAATATTCAAGTGAAGGACATACACACATAGGTAGAGCTTGTGTAGACAGGTCACAACAAGGGAGTCTCCCAACTGATATTCAGTGCAGATATTGTAATGTGAGAATAAGGTGGGAAATACTTTCTCTTTTCAGTTGCCTGATAGAATTCTGTCTTTTCTTCCTTCTCTTTCCCCCCTCTCATGTAAAGAAACCCTACTCCATAAATTGAAAACACAGGATGAAATTTCAAAGTTTTGCATTTACATTTTTTTGTAAAGTACTGTCATTAATTTTATGCCACAAATATTTGCTACTGTCAATGTAAAGTGCATTTTCTTTTCCTTTTTTCATCAACAGAGGCTACAGGGTCTGACAAATTCTGTTATGAGAAGCTTAATACAGAAGGCACAAAAAAGGGAAACTGTGGAAAGGATGGAGACCGATGGATTCAGTGTAGTAAACAGTAAGTTTAGGTTTGTAGAAACTGGGTGAAATTGCTAAATATTTTTCAATTTTTTTCAGCAGATTGTTTTGCATGGTTTTAAATCCTCCAGTTTTTTCTTACAAAAGTTCAGAACTCCAGGATATTTAATAGATTGGTTTGCACAGTCCTCATGTGGCTCATTTTTGGAGTTTCTTGCATCCAGATTTTTATGCAGAAGTACTGGCAATTTGGGCAATTTAGGCTTGGAAAAGTTAGAGGTTCTTCTTCGAGTAGTGTCCCCGTGGGTGCTCCACTGTAGGTGAAGGGTTGCCCTGAGCTGCAGATCGGAGCTTTGTATAGCAGTTTCCCCTGTTGAGCCACGCATGCCCAGGAAGCGTCTCGAGCCCTTCCCGCCTCCTGAGGAGTGTGACTCAACCCCCTCCCTTTCAGTTCCTCTTTAACCGCCCTCGTCAGCAGACGGAGCAGCCAGGAGCTCCCTGTCAGACTGTCTGACTACTTTCCCCTTAGTTATTTAGGCATAGTTAGCTTCCCCTGTTTTATCCTAGTTACTCTTTCCTTGTTTCTTTATTAAAAAAACAACAACTAGAAATAGGAAAAATAGACTTAATTAAATCCCCCCCTCAGGGGGCTTGAACTTACCTCAGACCGGGACTCCGGTGAACCGGCTTTCTCCCGTCTGTCAAAACAAGAAACACATAAAGACTTTAAAAAAAAAAAAAAGAAGAAGAAGAAGAAGCAAAACCACATAAACTATAACAATATAGAAGATAAATATAATAATTTCAAGAGGGAGAGAGCCCGCAATGTCCGGCTCCTCAGGTTTTAAAAAGTGCGGTCAATGCCGGGACCCAATGCCGGCTTCAGATGG